TAATTATTTATGAAAATCTTTTGCAGTCTGGGACTGTTTGACGTTTCCTCCCTTGAGATGCTCTGCCAGGCCTTTACTGCAGTGACCTTCAGTTGCTGCTTTTTTGTGGGTCTCCCTGCCACCAGTTTTGTATATAATAACTGAAAAGTTGTTCTATTTTGTTGAGATCAGGTCACTGACTTGGGTGCTGAACAGTATCCCATTTCTCAAGAGACTCGGGTTTGTTTTGGGTCATGCACCATGAAGTGCCTTCCTAATCAGGTTTGCATGGTTTGGTTGAATCTGAGCAGAGAGGATACACCTGCACTGCTTCTGTCAGTAGTCACATCATCAGTAAACACCAGTGACCAGCTTCCACTGATAGCCATGCATACACATGCCATAACGGTATCTACACTGTGTTTGAGAGATAATGTGGTGGTATGCTGTGGATCATAATCAGGTTTGCTCCTTGCTCTCCCATCATTCTGCTACAAGATAACCGCGGTTTTATTTGTCTACAGCATTTTTCCAGGACTGTGCAGATTCTTTTAGAGGTTTAATGACAAATCTTTCTGGCCTTCCTGTTCTTGAGTGGAAGCAATGGTGTGCACCTTGTTATAAACTCTCTATATTTCCATTCTTGAAGGCATCTCTTCATTGTAAACCTTGTCAATAATATCAGAGAGTGTTCTTTTCTTGGCTTGGCCAGATGTTGTGAAGTTGTTTCTTAACTTCCGTGATGTTTCAGGCCTTTTACTGCGTTCTTTCTTGAAGACAAGATTTTTGATTTGGCCACTAATAAAGATTTTGCTCTCCCTCTCTGGTTATTTTGTTTTATTCGGGATAATGATAGCCTCCTTTCCTTGTACTGACCTCTTTTTGGACTTCATATTCAAAATTAAATTGAAAAGTACAAATGCAAATGCAACACCTCGAGTCAACTTCAGATACAGAGTCTACTTTATTTGGCATGAAATGGGTGACAGGCCTTGTCATGAAACCCCTTGTCAGTCAAATTTCTGATTTCTTTTTAGCCTCTTTCAATTTTTATTAATAAAATTCA